CTTTCTAGACCTGCGAAGCCAGCAGTGGGACCCAGGAGGCCTAGGGAATCTATTCAAGGACAATGGACAACCCAGTGTGAAGAGGCCTTTGAACGGCTGAAAAAGAGTCTAACCACCGCTCCAATCCTGGCCTATGCAGACCCAGCCAAGCCGTACGAATTGCATGTGGATGCAAGTAGAGATGGGTTAGGGGGAGTCCTCTATCAAGAACAGAATGGATGCTTGCGACCTGTCGCCTATGTGAGTCGGGGTTTGGCGTCCGCTGAGAAGAACTACCCCACCCACAAGCTTGAATTCTTGGCCTTGAAGTGGGCAGTAGTGGACAAACTTCGAGATTACCTATATGGAGCAGAATTCGTGATAAAAACAGATAATAACCCCCTCACATACATTCTCACTACAGCTAAGCTGGATGCTACTGGCCACAGGTGGTTAGCTGCCTTATCGGAGTTCACTTTCAGCCTCAGTTATCGGCCAGGGATTGGGAATAGGGATGCAGATGCCTTATCCCGAAGACCTCACTGTTCCAAGGATTCCCCAGAAGAGTGGACTCAGGTGCCCTCTGAAGGGGTACGAGCCTTATGCCAAGGAGTGGAACACCGAACAAGAGGTGGGTCCAGGGCAGAAGACATTGGGATTTCGGCATCTGGCGTTCCCAGGTGTTTATTGCAATGTCACCCAGGTTGGGGGTGAAGGCCTGCCCAAGCTTTCCAGGAAGGATCTGCGAAGAGATCAGTTGGAAGACCCCCCCTCTGCGGCCTAGTATTGAAGGCTTTAGAAAGCAAAAGCCCTGATTTGCTTCTTACATCGTCAAGGGAGGCCCGGCGGCTACATCATGAGTGGGATCGGCTACAGTTACGCCACGGAGTGGTCTACCGAAGGGGCCCCTCTGATGATCCTGAAGAGAAATGGCAGCTATTTTTGCCCGCAAAACACAGAGAAACGGTGCTGACTGCTCTCCATGATGACCATGGCCATCTGGGACCAGAAAGAACCTTTTGTTTGGTAAGAGACCGCTTCTACTGGCCCTGCATGCGGACAGAAGTTGAAAGTTACTGTCACTCCTGCATCCGATGTATTCAGAGGAAGACTCTGCCTCAACGAGCTGCCCCAATGGGCCACCTTCAAAGTCAGGGACCCATGGAGTTGGTGTGCATTGACTTCCTGTGCCTGGAGTCGGATCAGAGTGGACAGGGAAATATCCTGGTAGTGACTGACCATTTTACCAGGTATGCCCAGGCTTTTCCTGCTAGAGATCAGTTAGCATCAACTGTGGCAAAGATTTTAGTAGAAAGGTTCTTTGTGCATTACGGACTACCACAACGTATCCACTCAGACCAAGGGAGAGATTTCGAGAGCAATCTCATCAAGAGACTCTTGAGTCTACTAGGCATCCAAAAGTCGAGGACTACTCCATACCATCCTCAGGGAGATCCTCAGCCAGAGAGATTCAATCGTACCCTCCTGAATATGCTCGGGACTTTGACTTCAGTGCAAAAGCAACACTGGAGTAAGCATGTAGCAGCCATCGTACATGCCTACAATAGCACTGCCAACGACGCTACAGGATACTCTCCTTACCGGCTGATGTTCGGCCGGGAAGCTCGACTGCCAGTAGACTTGGCTTTTGGAACCTCTGTAGACCATACCTCTGCAGCTTCCCATAGAGGATATGTGGACCGCTTAAGGAAAAGCCTGAAGATTGCTTATGAGAAGGCTCAAGCCACCTCAGATGCCAGGGGACAGAGAAACAAAGAGAACTTTGATCTCAGAGTGCGAGTACAGGACTTACAATCTGGAGACAGAGTCTTACTGAGAAATCTGGGCATCCCTGGAAAACACAAGCTGGCGGATAGGTGGCGATCAGAGCCCTATGTCATCTGCAAACAATTGCCTGGATTGCCAGTTTACCAGATTCGACCGGAAAAGGGTGTTGGCCCACTCAAAACCTGGCACCGCAACCACCTTTTGCCTTTGTCAGATGCAGTCCGTCTACCATCACAATCTGATCCACAGTCTACCCCCCTCAACTTCTCAGAGAACTAGAACTAGACCTGTGACCAGGTCTCAACCCACACCACCTCCTGTAAATGAAGAGGACAGTGAGAGTGAGGAGGTAGGGACAGATTTGCTGTGGCCATCTGACATTTCCGAACCCACCACTCCTTGTTCCACTGGAGTGACTGACGTAGTTCCTCTTAGGCCAGAGGCTCCTGAATTTGTACCTCAGGCTCAACATACAGAAGATTTGCAAGAGCCTGAGCCTTCTCTACCCGAGTTAGAACCTGAAGACTCTGGGTCCATTGTTGCTGAGGAGAAGACGTGGAGGAAGCTGAACTGGGAGAGACAGAGTGCGTCGAGCAAGAAGCAAGGGTTGATGAGTCAGTAGTGTCAAAACCAACATCGGAAGCAACGCCAGAATCATTGCTAGAGCCCAGAGAACAGAGAGAGCGTAGAGTTATTCAACCCCCAAAAAGACTGACATATGATGTGTTGGGTGAAAACTCTGAGGAAGTAGTACATGCTTCTAGAAGGAATCTCGTGACGCCTGGTTCTCCTACAGCAGTTTCGTAGAGAACAGCCCCAACTCACCCCCTGGCACATCTGGTTGGGCCATTCCCATTAGTGTGGCCTATGGGCAGGACAACCCTCACTTTGCTACATGGTGGGAGGTTCCTCTGCCAGATTCTTATGCAAGTGTGAATAATTTAATTTCCTGTGTGTACTAATTTGTTTTCTCCGCGTGTATATATCAAGCATGTACCAGGTCAAGGATTGTTACTGCCTTTGGAGGACCAAAGGTTCTTTGGTGGGGGGAGTGTGTAGCAGGAGAGATTAATCCTGTTTCATGGCTGTGATCTGCTGACTGGCCTCTCCTGTGTAACCTGACACTTGCCCTGACACAGACAAAGCAGTGAGGGATTTCAGCCCCCCCTTTCTCCTCTCAGACTGTAAGAGAGAGAGAGCCAATTATGAGAGCCATTAAAGGAGCCAATGACAAGGGCTCTTTCAAGCAGGAAGTGCAGCTGCAAAGCATTGTGGACGATGGAGTTTTGAACAGAAACGGCCTTATAGGCTAATATGGAGATAGAATTAAAAAAGAACCACGAAAGCCATCATGCTTAGAGAGAGCAGAGTGAAGGGGCCATCTTGGGTTTTCTCCTGAGGGAGAGGGAGATTGCATGTGGCAGGAGAGAGATTGGACCTGGCAAAGAAGTGCTGATGGGCAGTGCACTGCATGCTTGGTGATCTGCATCAGACAAAGGAACATCCAAACTGAGAGAAGTGGTCTACAGTACAGTGCCTACACTGACAGTGTGAAGTGCTCATCGTGAGGTGACCAGAGGAACCTGTCATTTCCAAGACGATCGTTTGGGCCTTTGTCACAGGATCTGGTGAGAGGGATTTCTCCCACTGTCAGATGACAGGAACATTGCACACATACAGAGACATCATACCTTGCTCATATTCACCAGGCACTGGGTTGTGTAGATGGCCCTGCTGAACAGACACCGTGTTCACTTTGCTATACAAATACTGCCACAGGATTACAATTACACTTTAAGTGTTTAAGGAGTTTAAGTGCACCAACGAAAGTGGCTAGCTGAAGATCCCAACATTCATCCAGTTACAAAGAGACTGAAGTTACTGGTGCCATACGGGCACGCGCATGCGTAGTCAGGCCTCTATATTGCATGGTGTGTGAGGGAATAGCTTTACCTTGAAAGTAGCTATTAAGCATCATTTGGGTACAGTGTTTTCCTATTGGGGTCATGGTGTCGGGGTTGAGAAGGGAGAAGTCTGACACAACAGAGAGTCATTCTTCTGCTCTCCTCCTGCTTGGACATCATGGGGCCAAATTTATGAAGAGGAGTTAAATCCACTTTGAGGTTGCCATTTAAGTGTTTGCCTCTGCTCTTGGGGTTATTCATGGTTGGAATCCCCTGAAAGCAGCCCGAGTGTAAAAGTGAGTTATATTGCTTTCCGTCACAGTATTTGTTGTTCTCTTGATTCTCCTAACATATACTGGTTGTTAATGTTTATTATTTCCCATAGAGGTCTACAGTAAAGCTGATCTCTGTGTTTTATTATAAAGTGTGTGCTTTTCATTGGTCCTTGCACTTACACTATTGCCAGGTGTGCCAGTGTGGGCTGAGACAGTTCTTGGGGTTGAAAGGAAGAGTGGCGGAGTGAACAAACTTAAGCAGCCCCTTCGGGGGTATCGCTACAAATACACACTAAACTGAGCATGTGCAGAGTGACTCCAAACCTCTGTTTTATCAGGAGATATTTAGGGAATAATGGAAGAGGGGGAGAATCAGAAAAGACAGGATCAAACATCCTTTTTACACAATGTGGAGGATTATTGTGGGTTTATTAACACTTTAATTTACTATTTGAATTTTATTTTAATAATTTTCATATTATTTGGTAGTGTGAAGTTGGCCAGCCCCATCCTGCCTACTGTAACTATCTAGTGGACGTAAATGGATGACCTTTGTGGCTATTAAGACGGTGCAGGAGATGGGGGAAGCAAGCCCACTCCTAGAGTCACCAGAAAGTGTTGACATTTGCATTTTATTACACTCCATTATTCATGGTGCTGGGGCATGCTAGAAGACATCATAGGGCACGTGCAAGCTCTGCTAGTTGCCTGTATTGTTGTACTACAATCTATTTAGTACTATAGTGCACTGACAGGTTTTCTGGATTAATGGTTCCATTTAATTAGGTCACTGGTAAACAGGCTTTGCTATATATTAATATTACATTATTAATATCCAACAGTGACTTTAATTGTTCTTGCAGCAGAGGTTTGGTCTGGGCATCATCTTAGTTTTAAAAATGAGGGAATCTGCAGTCTTACGATATAATGTAAAAAATGAATTGCACTTGACTGAAAATTCATCTTGTAAAACCATGAGACAAAATATATGGGAATTACTTTTAAGGAATGTGTAATCAGACTTTGCATGACAATTATATTTCTTTCATTTCAGCTTCATCATCCTTCTCAGGGTTTCCGTTTCGGAACGGTGTGGGAAAGCAGCGCAGAGCAATACATTAAAAAAAGTTTTCCTGAAATGCACAGCTACATGCGAAGGTTCAGCGTCCCATCCACCTCAGATGGAGTCCAAATGTTAAAGTGAGGAGGCATTTCAATGACAGGGTGGGCACAACTGTTAGACAATATAATATGATGTGGGGGCATCGGTGTTTAATTAAGAAAAGGCCAAAAGTATCAGGACATAGAAAGGCTAAACATCTGATCAGTACCAACGTTACGTAATCTTCTTCAAATAAGTCACCTACTATATGTTATCCTGCACCACAACATCTCCAGCACATCTAAATCAATCGCTTTTAAAAATCCATCATGTTTCCTATGCATTAGTCTCAAAATCATACAGAATGAGAATTTAAGATCTACCGCTATACTCAGTGGCCCGAAAAATAGAAACCCTGTCCATGGCATTTATGTGAGAGACATGGATGGCTCAGTCCATAACAGCCAATCAGCAGTCCATAACACAACATTTAATATCACCAAAAGGACACTAATATTAAAATGCACAATGCATCGCAGTCTTAGTTCTACTGTACATTAGTCTCAAAATCATACAGAATGAGAATTTAAGATCTACAGCTATACTCAGTGGCCCGAAAAATAGAAAACCTGTCCATGCAGCAGGACTGTGCCCACAGTTGCTGTTGTAGAGAAGAAACTACATAAATAGAAGCTGACCTCAGAGATTCAATTTCTACCCATGATTTGGATGTGAGTTGATTCACCAGAACAGAGTTAAAATGAAATCAGACTTCAGCAGGAAGATGGGTTTAGGCAATGCCAAGGGCATACATTTGTAGAGTCTTTGTGCAGGCTTGTGTGTAGGATGAATAGGCCATAACACAAAAAAACTTCTCCAAAAACATATTATGTTTGGCATTTACGTGAGAGACATGGATGGCTCAGTCCATAACAGCCAATCAGCAGTCCATAACACAACATTTAATATCCCCAACAGGACACTAATATTAATATGCACAATGCATCGCAGTCTTAGTTCTATGTGGAATAACAGCACATAATCACACAGGGCACCAGCCTAACCAAAGGAAGCATATGGAGTAGGTTAAACAACATATTCATAGGACTGCCAATGACTACATCTCCCTTATTGTAACATCATGGTATGATAAACACAGATACAACATCTATAGAAAGCAGTATGCAGCCATCAACCTTGGGCAGTTGCATGAAATGTGTTCTTGATAAGCCAAAATATATTATAGGCTAAGAAAATGTAGGCAATATTTCAACCACTTGCTCTCTAGAGGATTTTTGCGTTACGGCACTGCGGTATTTTAACTGACAATTGTGCAGTCATGCAATGCTACACCCAAATGAAATTTACTTCCTTTTTCCACCACAAATAGAGCTTTCTTTTGGTGGTATTTGATTGCCTGTGCGTTTTTATTTTTTGCGCTATTAAAAAAAAAGTCTGACAATTTTGAGCAAAAAAAACAATATTTTTTACTTTTTGCTATTAACCACAAAAAATTTTTTTTAAAATCAAATTTCGTCATAAATTTAGGCAAAAATGTATTCTGTGACATAAAGAATGTAAATTAATTTGTTTACATTAAAGTTATAGTGTCTGCAAATGGTGGTATATATACTGAAATTTTTATTTGTATTTTTTTTTTTAATAACTAGTAATGGCGGCGATCAACAACTTATGGCGGGACTGCGGCGGCATTCTGACACTGGGTGGGAACTGACTAACTGCCACTGACATCCCAATGACACTAATACAGTGACCAGTGCTAATAACAAACACTGACACTGTACTAATGCCACTGAGCAGGAAGGGGTTAACATTTAGGGCGATCAAAGGGTTAACTGTGCTGTGTGCTATTTTACATAATGTGCTGTGTGTGTTTTACTAGGGAAATATGCTTCTGTGTATTTCTCTGCTGTGCAGAGAAATACACAGCAGCATGTTCTTGCTGGCAGAAGAGAGACCTGTGTTGTTTACATACAGGTCTCTCCCGTCAGTTTTATTCGGTGATCACTGGGTGTAGGCGAGGAATCTCCATCTGGGACACGGTGATTGACATCCGTAGCTGCCAATGGCAGCGCGGGTAGGGCGGCATGCGTGCGTGTGCCCCCTACCTGGAAATGCAAATTCATGTATATATACGTGATTTTCCACACCCGTGCCGCCCTGTAGCAGTGCTTCTGCTATAGGACGGACGGGCAGGGGCAACGGCTACTCAAAAAAAGCATGGCACTGTGTGATATTAACATAAAAACAGCTAGGACAGTTATTGGGAAGTACACCTTATAAAAGAACAGGATAAGAACGGGCATTTGTAAGAATCTATCTACTCTTAAAGAAGAAGTATAGCCAAAGCTCATTTGACTGTACTTCCCCTGTGAATTACAGAAGTGCAGTTCGTTCTGCACTTCTGCAATCCTTTTTTTGTCAGCCGACAGCGGGCTAAAGTCACTCAGCTGGTCGAGGCTGAGGAAAGACTTCAACCACATGGTCAGGGTCAATCCAGGAGCCTGAACCAACACTTGGCTCAGCCTCTCAGCGATCTGCCATCAGCTCCCTCCCCTTCCACAGCCCAGAACTCCAGTGAGCACTGCGGGGAGAGGGGAACAGAGCAGACAGAGGTGACTGAAAGTCCCAGCTCTCTGCTCACAGCGGCAGGGAGAACTGAGTGATCAGCGGTGTTGCTCAATTCTCACCCTTAGAGCCAGCGGAGGACAGATGCATCATCGGATCGATGGTGCATCCATCTAGGTAAGTATGCTTAAAAAAAAAAACACTAGTTAGAATGATGCAGATTTGCCTTTTGTGGCTAGGTATGAATTATTTTAATCATTTGCATTCTTTCCCTGTCAGAGTAGAAATGTCAACCCACTGTCACACAGTAAGGCCCCATTGAAGTTGATCAGTCTGAGCTTAGGGCTGATTTATCACACTCTGTCTACTGCTGGAGAAGAAATACTGTGATATATTTCCAGCCATCAGTTTCTTTTTGAAACCCTCACAGAACCTTACAATAGATCTAATTAATTTGTCCTCAAGTGCCGTGCATTGTTATTGGACACAAAATGAGCTAGTTTTAGGAGCAGGGGAACAGGATTTTTGGAAGCATAAGTACACAAGAAGCGTACAATAAACTGACACTATACATAAACACAAATCTTTACTTTGAAAGTTATGAAAAATCATGGCAACTTTGAGTTCCAAAACAGCTTGAATGGCAATAATATACATTGGGGTTCCATAGTTACATATTTATTCTGGCTGAAAAAAGACAAAAGTCCATCCAGTTCAACCATTAAAAAAAAAAAAATTATAATCCTATACCCACAGTTGATCCAGAGGAAGGTATAATAACCCAGCAAAGCATGATCCAATTTGCTCCTGCAGGGAAAAAAATTCCTTCCTGACACATTGGAGTTGATTTACTAAAAACTGGAAAGTGCAAAATATGGTGCAACAGTGCATGGCAGCCAATCAGCTTCTAATTTCAGCTTGTTCAATTACCGAAAAGCTTTGAGAAAAAAAACCTGGAAGCTGATTGGTTTCTATTCACAAGATTTTGCACTCTAGTTCTTGTAAATCAACTCCAATGTGTGTGATTTCTTTTCTGTTTTTTTTTTACTTTGTTTTTGTTTTTTTTTTAAACAAAGTTAGGTTATGTTATAAAAAGCACTTGCAGTTTTGAGGTTGACATGTAGGGTTCTGTTAAAAGGAAAAATCTGAGCAACAGTGTTGACGCATGAAATTTCTATTAATTTTGGTAAGAACCGTGAACAATAAATTCCAGCTGATTGCTATTAATTGCTGCACTTTGCAACATAAAGGGTCATTCTCCTTAAATCTGATATTTTCATTTTTGCTATATAATGGGAGTTAAACCAACTGACAAATTCCTGTAACTCTTGGGAAGATCTCTGTGCTTTCCTGGGTTTACATACTTACTTTTACCATAATGAGGGAGTACTGCTTTCCCTGTCAACATTCTGTTTATTTGATATTATTAGAAATGCAACCAGAGATGTTTGGACATAAAAAGGGGAGGGACCACCCAAGTCTCCCACATGAACAGAAAAAGAGTCAGATAGTATAGCAGGGAGATCTTGCTATTGGAATATTCACTATATTAAAGCAAGGGGTTTTTAACAGATAAATAAAAGCTGCAATGAATAAACTCTTCTTTACTAATTATAGTACCCTGGTTATCTTTCTGATGCTCTGACTTCAATGCTGACTGAATCATTAACCCAGAATTAGTATAGAGATAAATAATTCTAACACTCATTGATAAGATGTTTGTTCTGGGGCTGTGATTGGAATATCAAATCAGTCTCAGTCAGGTATTTAGCATTTTAACCACTTCCTGTCCTGCCCGGACACTTTTACCCCCTTCCTGTCCAGGCCAATTTTCAGCTTTCAGCGCTATCACACTTTGAATGACAATTGCGCGGTCATGCAATACTGTACCCATATGAATTTTTTACCATTTTTTTGAGACAGATAAAGCTTTATTTTGGTGGTATTTATTCACCGCTGGGATTTTTATTTTTTTTACTATGTAAATGAAAATGTCCAAAAATTTTGAAAAAAAAGTGTTTTTTTTTTTAAATAAAATTTTGCAAATAAATAATATTTCATCATAAATCTTGGCCAAAATTTATTCCGTTATTTTTTTAGTAAAAAAAAAAAATCCAAATTAGTTTATAACCAAAAAGTATAATTTTAAAAATTTTTTTTTTTTACATTTTTATTTTATTTTTTTTATATTATTATTTTTTATTTTTTTTTTTTTTTTTTTACATACTGTCACCCTAGCAGTACAGTGTCACCATGGTAACACTGTACTACTTGTGGGGGGTGATGAAGATTTTTTTTTTTTACACTGATTGCTTTTACACCCATATAGGATGTAAAAGCAATCATTTCTCTTTCTCTCTGTCTGCATTCTTGAAGTCATTGAGAAGTATTGAGTGAGCTGTGTTTGGTCACAGCTTGTCACATGGTACAAGGCTGTTGTGAATAGCCTTGTACCATGTGACCTGTGTGATCATTCACAGATTTCACACGTAGTAAGCAATGATGTCACAAGTGACATCTTGCTTACTACTTTGCATGTGATCACTGATTCGCCAATCAGTGATCACATGATCGGGACCTCGTACAGAGGTCCCGTCCGACGATCGGTGTTTCACTGTGTCCGGAGGACCCAGCGGGCACCGGATCGCGGTGGTGGTGTGCGCTCCCAGGGAGCGCGCACAGCTAGAAAAGGCGGGTGCCGTTTAGGAACGGCAACCCGCCCCTGGACTGCCACCGCCCTGCCGTTTATAAACAGCAGGCGGACGGCAAGAGGTTAAGAAGGGGGGTGGCAATGGCAGCACTCATACTTTTGTCAAGGCAGACCTACTTTAAGAGATTTAAGTCCGTGGAATACAGAAGCAACACCTCCTGCGCTCAGGGACCCAGATCAAGGGTGGGTGGATGGATAGACCACTAAGGAAGTTCATCCACCAATGCTCTGAGGAAGGAGGGACCCCCCCTTCGAAACGCGTCAGCCAAACTCTGAGAGTCTCCCCTCTTGATGTGATTCGTACTGGTCTTGCACTTCAATTGTCCTGTAGCCTCCCTGGAGGTATAGTCCTGTAGCTCGGGGTAAAGTTTTAGTACCACAAGCAGTAACCCCGAGCTACACTCTGGCTTACCATGCGGCGCTGCTCCAGGATCTGTTCTTCTATTACCTTGTCCTGCGCTCCCACGATGTCCCTCCTGCAGTGTCTCCGGCAATGTCCTCCAGCGGATGCCAGCATCTGTCATCTGGGTTCCGTCCCCTGTGAGCGTCGGGACGTATGGGGACGGAACGGCGGGAAATTTGAAAATGACAAAAAGTGACATTCACTAAATTCACTAAAATCACATAGTATAACATTACTGTATCAAACCATTTCACATACATTTTGTCCCTAGTGCTTTGTCCTGTGCCCTGCCTGCATTTTTACTGTTCTTTCTGCCTAGAAACTGAGAAACGTCCATGGCGTCCAAAAAACATCCCTTTAGGTCAAAATCAGTTTTTAGACCAGCTGGAGAACAGCAATAGTAAATCAGAACCACTTGCAGAATTGAGTGATAATGATTCGTGGGGAAATTCGTCATCAGACACTGAAAACGATTTTGCGACCTTGCTCAGTGATGTGCGAACTTGGCGCTATATTTCAAATTTCAGTGTTGTTGGTTTGATTATATTATTGAATTAAATTTTTATTATTATTATATTATATTATTATTTTTTATGATTATTTATTAAATTATAATTTATAATTTCGAGCTTCAAATTTTAACATACCCGGGATATTTACTACACTCTTGTTCGGACAGATTTCAGTGAGTTATTCCTAAAAAGTACAGGCCTACAATAAAAAAAATACATATTTCCATGCAAAAAAAATACCGCTTTGAGCACAGAAATATGGACATAATCAGACCGCTAGGGAGTTTAAGATTGTATACTGCTTTGTTTGTGAGTATATATCTCATTTTCATAAAATCACAGTTTTTTATTGAGGTAATGTGCAAGGTTGGTGTGCTTTCTTTTTGTTTTCACTTTGCAGACATTTAAGTCCACCAGACACTGTTTATAAGTGAAATATCACTGTTGGATGGACTGATTTTTTTAACTTTCCATGCACAAAACCATTGACATGAACATGAGATACCATAGCAGTGTTAGATGACTGGCATGACTTACACTTGCTAAAAACTGAAGAACAAAGATGACAAATCACATATTTTTTCTCTACAGCCTTCTCTCTTTGGGGATGTTTAAGTTGCTTACATATTTACATATATAAAATAAGTGTGATTGTGTTTTTGCCAGGAAAAAGAAAGGTCTGTAAGTGACCAGATCTCATTATCATCAGATCTCTCTCTAATGTCTATGGTCAGCTTTGCTGAAAAAGAAAAATCATATACTACATTAATGTGCTTTGGACAACATTTGGAAAATGTTACTATCTATGGCAGTGGATTCATGTGGATGAAAAGATTTTCATGTACAAGTGAGAGGTATTAAAATGTAGAGACATTAAAGTAAAGCTATAATGTAAAATGTATTAACCAATACATACATAGAACCATCAGAATAAAAATGAAATTTGGTATTGTTGTTTCAGAACAGACCCCCCGATCCTTAATGCTTTTATCATGGATAAAGCTTTGCTGGATTACGAGGTATCCATAGATTCAGACTGCAAACTGCTGACTGTGGGGAAGCCCTTTGCAATAGAAGGTAATTCAGAGTGGAATTGTAGGTCTTAAACACTATTTATCAAGGTCATATTACTAGATAGGCCACACCAAGCCACATATATGCATGTCTACAAATTGAAAGCCTAAGTTTATCCAAAATAAAAAAACAGAAAAATCAGCACAAGGGACATAATTTACAGTCAGTATGATGTGTCCCTTGAGCTGATGCCTCTTCTACTAGGGGAAATCTTCCTCTGTCCATGCCCCCCCCCCCCACTGCCAGCGTAATCTTCCAATGCGTGGGGTTAATACAACTAAGAGAGCCTTACTATGCCTTTCTGCCCCGCTGCTCCATTCATAGAAGCCATATTACAGCTCCTACGAATGAAACAGCATCTATGAATGTAAGGAGCATAGCTATCAATCATCCACCCATATTCCATTCTTACATTCTATTTAATTTATAGAAGCTGTAATATGGCTTCTTTAAATGAAGCAACTGGGTGGAAAGGGTGGGCATAGTTGGGCTCTCTTGACAAGAAGACAGAAGATTACGGTGGAACAGGTGGCGGGGCATGGACAGAGGACGAGGCATCAGCACAAAGGACACATCCTACTGCCTATAAGTTATGTCCCTTGTGCTAACTTTTCTGTTTTTACTTTGGAGGCAATTAAGCTTTAATGAACATTTAATTTCTCCCAGCCCGACCATTACCCTTGTTAAAGTGCTTGTAAAGGATTTAGGTTTTTTACCATAATGCATTCTCTATATTAAAGTGTTACTAAACCCACAACAGTAAAATCAGTCTGTATATGCAGTAAAACAACAAAAGAGAAAACTTCCTGGCTCAACTTGCCAACCAGCCTGCAAACAAACCAAATTAACCTGTCTAACAGTATGTGTTAAAAACAGGGGTTTAGTTAGCACACATTTGCAAATACATAAGCTACAGAGCCTCGTCACAGCACCCCAATATTCTGTAGTTCCTAACTCTACAAATTTTGAGAGCCCCCATAGTAAAGGCACATGTATTTAATGGATAGACCAAGGGCAGGTGAACCTGAGGGAGCCCACCTCTCCTTAAAGGTACAGGAGCGCACTGGACACCCAGCATGTAGCACAATGGCAGCTAAGGTGTCCAGTGTGCCCCCTCGACCAACAATTCAACAGTAGAAAAACTGGCCACTGCCCCAATCTATAACTGGCCTTCACAGCAAGGAGCACATGGAAGGGCAACACATGTCAAACAAAACTTCCTGGCTCAACTTGCCAATTAGCCTGCAAACAGACCGCATTAACCTAACAGTATGCGTTAAAAACAGGGGTTTAGTTAGCACATATTTGCAAATACATGCGTAAGCTACCTTGGTCTATCCATTAAATACATGTGCCTCTACTATAGGGGCTCTCAAAATTTGTAGAACTACAGAATATCAGCGTGCCAAGGCTCTGTAGCTCGCATGTATTCGCTTCCAACCCCAGTTACTACCTGCTGAATTCACCAACAGCGTTCTGATGACCTGGTCTGGCTCTCTAGCTGGTATTACTATTAACAAAAAACATGTACTACTACAAGTATTATAATACTGCAATGCCCCAGAATACTAAGGGCAGTGCAGAGAATGGCATTTAGAGAGAGAACAAATAAACCTAGCAAAGCTATTATTATATTATTAAACTAGTAATATAACACTGTTTGCTAGCTCTTTCTGTTCTCTACACTCCATTATTAAATACATTAGATCCCTGTAAAAGGCCAGAATTCTAGAGGGACTCCATGCAGGACTGGGAGCTTGCAATCACAGAGGCAAAGAAAAGAGCTTGGGGTGGAATGTAATTTTTTTGTTGTTCTCTGTTTACTAACTTGTGGATTATGTTCTTCTGATCCCTGAACTATGTGTGTTATGCTCTCCTGTCCCTAGAATTCTGTGTGTTACCCAGGGGCGGACTGACCATTCGAGCACTTGGGCACTGCCCGAGATGCCCGGGGTCATTGCCGGGGGGGCTCCAGGAGGGCCCCTGGTGAGATGCCCCATGATCCCATTTGACGGGGGGGCTCCAGGAGCTCTTTGTCAGTCCACCCCTGGTGTTACCTATCTCTGACCTTTGCACTCTGTACATAACACCCATTCCTGACACTGATGCACCTTGTGAGTTACATACTCCTGCACTGACTGTGTATTATGCTCTTCTGAACCCCTGTACCCTATGCATTACTCTCCTGACATCTGCACCTTGTGAGTTACATACTTCTGACTCCTGCACTGTGTATGTTATGCTCTTCTGAACCCCTGTACCCTATGCATTACTTTCCTGACATCTGCACCTTGTGAGTTACATACTTCTGACTGCTGCACTGTGTATGTTATGCTCTTCTGAACCCCTGTACCCTATGCATTACTCTCCTGACATCTGCACCTTGTGAGTTACATACTTCTGACTCCTGCACTGTGTATGTTATGCTCTTCTGAACCCCTGTACCCTATGCATTACTCTCCTGACATCTGCACCTTGTGAGTTACATACTTCTGACTGCTGCACTGTGTATGTTATGCTCTTCTGAACCCCTGTACCCTATGCATTACTCTCCTGGCCTCTGCACCTTATGAGTTACATACTCCTGCACTCTGTGTCATGCACCCACAGTTCGCTGTGGCACACTATGAACATACTTACTATTCTCCTCTGGGTGCAGGAGGCTAAACCTCACCCCTGGAAAAAAAAAATATCTAAAGCTCTGAATCTAATAAGCATACCATTCTTCTCTCACAGCAGTTCTAGAAGATCAGATGCTAAAACAGAGTGGGCACGATATCAGAGCCTAGCCGACTTCATTTCTCCTCCCACTCCTCCTAATCCCCGCATGCTGTGCATGACAAAGATACACTACCTCAGTTAGTATCAGAGGCATAATTTGCAAACCTTGGCGTGATAGTTGGGAGAAGTGGCTGCAGGCAGGATAAAGGCACAGCAAAGATACTTATATCAGTCAGGGCTCTTCAAGAAAAAGTAAAAAAGTAAAATTAGGCCTTACCTAGTGCCTCAAGTCTTTTCTGAATCTTTATGATAACCGTTTCCCTTGAGGGGGGGGGGGACATGTAAGAACTAGACTGAATGCTTGTGCTTTAAATATGCAAAATATATGAAAATTCTTTATTTCTGAAAATGAAATATGAAAATTATTTAAAGCGCTGTAGCATATGTTACTAGTCACTTTTTTTTAAATGTAATACATAGTGATATTGTGTAAGCCAATTTATTACACATTTTCATGTCTTTCAATTTTACAGGATACGGAATTGGCTTACCCCAAAACTCTGCCCTAACCTCTAATATTTCAGAGTTTATAAGTCGTTACAAATCATCTGGATTCATGGATACTTTGCATGACAAATGGTACAAAATGGTGCCATGCGGGAAGCGGGTATTTGCTGTGACTGAGGTAACAATATTTTTTAGGGCTGAAAATATTGCCATAGTTTATTACTATGCTTTTAGTTTTTGGATGCAAAGAGTGAAAGAAGGTTTTGCACATGTAGCAGACCTCCAAGTCTCAGACAATGTCTTGCGCCTCCAGTTTCCAAACAGCATAGCAGCCAATGCATACAAGGTAGTTCCATCCAAGCCTAGAAAAAAAATCTTCCTGTATTTTGTTTTTATTTGATGGAATTGTTCTTAGCTGCTACAGAAATTAGTGACATTCATTGATGTTGTTGCTGCAGCTTACCAGCAAAAGTGCCAGGTGCAAACATTCTGATATTATGTACATTGACTTGTGATTTTTTTTCTAATTGGAACATCCTTTAAAGTGGTTGTAAAGCCTAAACATTTTTTACATTAATACATTCCTTGCAAGGTAAAAAATGTTTAGGTAAAAGTATCACCCCCTCAACCCCGCAATACTTAGCTGAGCCCACACTTGATCCAGCACTGTGCCTGTCTGCAGTGGCTCTCTTCTCTCACTTACTGGTTTCACAGGCTTTGCTGAAGCAAGGGGTGGAGCGGAACCACACTGTCTGTGTGTATGGAACATGAAAAGAAGACAGAGGTCCAGGGATTTTTTTCAGGGAGAACGGGGCACTGAATTTATATAACGACAAGGGGTGCTGGAGTGTGCTGGAGGGGTCTATTGTTGCTTGCAAGGGTCTATTATTGTTGGGGTGGATTTTTTGTTGCAGGGAATCCATTGTTGCTGGGTGGATCTATTGTTACTGCGGGGAGGGGTCTTATGTTCCTCAGGGGTCCATTGTTGATGGGATGGATCTACTGATGAGGGAGGGGTCTATTGTTGCTTGCTGCTGGACAGTCTATTGATGCTGGCTACTGGAAGATCTATTGTTGGTGGCAAAGGTCTATTGTTTCTGGGGTGGATCTGTTGATACTGGGGGGTATTTTGTTGCAGGAAATCCATTGTTGCTGGGAGGATCTTCTGTTGCTGGCTGCAGGGGATCAATTTTACTGCTTTTCTTGCTATCATTAACCAGTTCTATACAAATTACTTGGCTCTAGAAATGGATACTTGGTTCTGTATTTTCTAAAAGTGTTGGTACTAGGAAGGTTTGGGGGTGAATCCAAGGGACAATGCTCAGTGGTGGGTAAAGGTCGGAAACAAGAGGTGACTCAGAAGGGGAAAGTTCCTGCACCTATTCTCCTAGAAAAAAAGCCCTGAAGAGTTCTATCTAAGGATTAACCTAAATAGCACCAACATACAGGGGATCTGGGTTATACCATTCCGAAACACAGTAACAAATATGTTGTAATAACACTGACTTGCCAGTAGATGTCAGCATCAAGGCATTAACATATACCGTGTTTCCCCGAAAGTAAGACCTACCCCAAAAGTAAGACCTAGCAATACTTTTTGACGTACCGCTAATATAAGCCCTCCCCCAAAAATAAGACCTACCTCCACCAGGGGCGGACTGACCATTCGGGCACTGCCCGAGGACCCGGGGTCACTGCAGGGCCCCATGAGAGGCTCAGTCCATCCCTGTATGTGCCGCTTCTGAAATAGGCAGGAATTGAGGGGACGGACAGTGAGGCAGGCACTTCGGACACCTCTCCTCCTCGGAGTTTCAGCAGAGGGGCGGGTCCACATCCCTGCCACGGGTGCTGAAGTCAGAGTGCTATGGGGGTGGGCAGAGTATGCAGCAGATAAGTATGTAATCCCCCGACCCTGGTGACAGCACTGCAGCTCCATATAGTAGGTAGGGGGGAGGGGGGGGGAAGAGGGCAGAGAGAGAGAAGCCAGAGAGAGAGAGGGGGCTAGCTTTAAAATTTACCTTTTTGTGGAGATGGTGGAGAGATCAGTTGTGTTGCAAGCCGACGATCCCCACAGGAAGGATCGGATCTGCGGACTGGGGAGGATAATGTATCGGACTCCAATCCATTATGCTCAATCCGCAGATCTGATCGATCCTGCGGAGATCGTTGGAGGGAGCGTCACCAAGTGAGTAAAAATAAATAGATAAATAAATAAATAAGTCAATAAAAATAAGACCTACCCGAAAATAATCCCTAGTGCATTTTTTTTTAACCTAAAATTAATATAAGACACGGCCTTATTTTCGGGGAAACACGGTACATAATGAAATCAAATAGTATGGAAACAGATACACAATAAGTATTCCAGAAAAGGTTAAGAAATGACTTAATTCAGAGGTTGCATGAAACATTAAGTACAGTACCATGCTTTTTGTAGGTAAATGGTTAATTTTTAAAGCTGAACTCTAGGTACAATCTTAAAGACATAGCTATCTTCCAGGTCTTGTACTGAGCAGTTTCCCCCGTTCATACTGACCACAGGAGATCATTTACTACTACAGTGACTGTCAACTTCCACAGTGATCTATCAAGTAAGAACTACACATACTTAGAGTGGTCCAAACTCGATCAATGAACTATGCAATTAAGATCATACCTGAAGTTCAGCTTTAAAGAAGTCTATTCATCAAATTAAAAAGAGGGTCAATTGAGCAGAAGATAAGGACAGAGGTATCTTGTTCCAAATGAGGGACAGTTAGAAGCTGAGACTAAAAATGATGATAATGTGGAGAGGTTCATATGTGTATTACCATTTTAAAAGACTGCCCTTGAAAAAGACCACCTCCCTTTTGGTGCTAAGATTTTGGTGTGAAGCCCTTTATTTTGTTCCTTCTGACTGTAAAATGAGTTAGTGTTGTTATTCATATGGGCATGCAACCTGTGAATGGGCTCAACACTGGTTAGTTGCAGGAACCCCTGTGGGGGATTCCCGGCAATTCGCTGCAGTAGGCAACTCCAGTGAAAGCAATTGGAGGCTGCTAGCTCCCGTAGCTAATCGCAGCTTCTTGCATGTAATCATTGATGCAGCAATCACCTGCAAGTGATCAGCCCTGGACGCAGACTGTCTGCATCAAGGGCCAATCAATCGCAGGTGATCACTGTATGAGCAATTACATGCGAGTGGCCACGATCCGCTACGGAGCCAGCAGCCTCCCATTGCTTTCAGCGGAGCAGCCTCCCTTTGCTTTCATTGGGGCTCCCTCTCAGTGATAACCCCCTGTAGGGTTCTCATATGTAATCGGTGCCAGGCACATTCACAGGTGTGTTTTTGTTTTATTGTTATTGTATTTATATCTTACAGACGCTCCAGATGGGAATTTACCATTTTTCAGGCCTGTTTGTTCTACTTTGCATTGGATTCTGTGGTTCACTTCTGACATCATTGGGTGAGAGAGTGGTCTACCATCTTGTTATACCTCGTATCCGAAGGCGTCGCAGATTCAAATACTGGCTGCATACTAGTCAGGTAAATTAAAGTGATATAAAAGGCATTTTTTAAAATAATAAACATGTTATACTTACCTGCTCTGTGCAGTGGATTTGCACAGAGCAGCCCCTATCCTCCTTTTCTCGGGTCCCCCACTGGCACCCCTGGCCCCTCCTCACAGCAAGCATACATAACTTCACTTCAAAAAGAGAGGCATATATAACCTCACTTCAATCCCTCAAAACATAAGCCAAAAGCTAAATATAGAGGGCCAAAGGGGGTTTACTACACTGTTCCTTACCTTTCAAACAAACGGATATGCAAAATTAAACTGCAAGAATCATTTAAATCCTGACCCAGCAGGAACACAGGGGTCAAAGGACAGGCAAGGAACACACACTTGACACTGCTGAAAGTGTTGAATGCCTAAAGGTCTGATGAAGCTTGCAACAATGGAATGAAGTAAGATGGGAGGCACAGGCCACCAGAGTGGTGAGTATAATACTTTTTCTACTGCTGAAAACTGCCATTGGTATTTTTTTTTAGAGTCTGAAGGATCCCTGTAACATATAGGTAGTTCCTCATTGAATGGTTTAGCCCTTGTTCACATTGCTGTGACTTGTCATGCGACTTGCGACACACAACACATATACAAGTCAAAATACATTTATTTCAGTTGCAGCCATTCTAATCCATGTGACTCAAGTGGCAGCAACTTCAAAAAAGGTTCCTGCGCTACCTTGATGGGACTTTGAGTCCCATGAACTCTAATGTCGCATGAAACTCGCATAAAAGTTTAAAAGTCGCATTGCAAAGTCACGCTAGATATTGCATGAGTGCAGTCGCAGCAATGTGAATGGAGCCATAAAAAACTGCAGTGTTCTATTGCTTCTAGAGCCTGAAAATTGTCCCAAGTCTTTTGTTCATATATATGCAGTGAGCACTGACAGCTTTAGGGCTCATTCACATGTATATATGCATATTTTCTGAACACAACGTAGGTTCTTCCTGGCAGAGCTAGCAGAAGATCCTGCATGAAAAATACACATGTCAAATACTCTCTTTTTTAAAATATATATGTTTATTTTCAAAAGATGTACTAAAAAAAACATACACACTTACAACAAAATAAGCATAAAAAAAGAGAGAAAAGAACAGTACCAAGTGCCTCCCATATTAAACCAATACAGCACGTATACAAGAATAATAAAGGAGCAAGTAGTACAAGACAGGTAAAGAATAGTATTACAAGGAACTTCAAACTTCTCAAGGTGAATACTAATATCCCTGATCAAGGGATGCCAGTGTAGGTGAGCTAGATACCCACTTACCCCAAATCTTATCAAAAAGAGAAGTTTTCTTCCGAAGTTCAAAGTTAAGTTTGTATAAAAGGAGATTATCATTAATTAACTTAATCCAAGTTGGCAACCTTGGGCACATCGTTCCCGTCCAGGACAGAAGTATAATTTTTGAATTATTCTATCTCTAGAAGAGATCATATAACCCTTATAGGTATTGATGAACTCAGACCAGTCTTCATCAGTAGGCTGAAGATCTAACGATGACGAACAGTCTTGAGCAGTAGCAAATCTAGGGTTAGAGTCAGTCACCAGGGTATCATAGTATTCTGAGATCAATTTAGTGGTATGGAGCTCAACAGTTTCTCAATAAGAGCAAGGGACAATGTAGCAGTCAATGACCAAAACTGTACCTGCAGGGCATGGTGTAATTGATAATAATGAAATAAATGTGAAGGGGGTAGATGATCTTCTTCCAGTAATTGAAAGAAGGGCTTAGACACCCAAGCAGTATATCAATGGCATAAATATTTAATCCCTCGGAAGGTCTAACACAATGGATCAGGAACTGTAACTCATTCAATGAAGGGTTGTACCACAGGGGATTGTTAGGGGAGGTGGACCAAAAATCAGTAGAGACCTGAGTTACTATGGAAACAAAAAGAGATAAAGTGGTCCATAACATAGCAGTACCCGGACATGGGTGTACTTCTCTCCTATAGATAATATTATGTAGTGATTCAAATGATGAAAGTATAGCACTTCAGCAGTAGAACAGGCGTTAGCGAGAGAGGGATGGAGCCAACCATGAATAATAACCAACTAGAATGCCAGATAATAAAGATAAAAGTTTGGAAATGCCAGACCTGCCAAGTGGCTTGGTAGCTTCAGGACCTCGAACACTATTCTAGGGGAGAGATGATGCCATATAGGAACCCTATATAAATGGCATCAATTCGTTTAGAGATTTCGGAATTTTACAAGGAGCCATTACATATGAGGGGCGTTCATGTCAAACCAAGACTTCTGAGTTTATATAATAAAAGAACAAATTTCAAGGAGTAGAAACTGCATTTATTGTTTTTTACATACTCCCCTGATACATTTATACATTTATCCCAGTGTTTAACTAATGCCTGGAAAGTAACAGTATAGAAAGTACACCTGAACAATCCTAGAACAACATGCTTCACTTCGTCAATGATTGTGTTCACCGTTCCCACAGAAAAATGTGTCTCTTGTGCAATTACACGACAGGTTATGCGTAGACTATCCAGGATCAGGCGTTCCATGCACTGAATGTTCACAGTAATGACTGCTGTGGGCTGGGAACCACCAGGGCTGGGACCATCACTGAGAGACGTATGGCCATCTTTGAAACATTTACACCATTCAAATATCTTACTGCGGCTGAGTGTCTCATCCCTGTACTGTGCTTGAAGTCTTCTGTAGATATCCGATGGTTTTACGCTTTCGTAAACTTCATCACCGCACTCTGTTCCATGCACGCACTAACACTATTGTCTGCCATCTTGATTACCAGTCTCTGGACTGGCCCGCGACATGTGCCTCGCCTATCAGTAATAGGACACACTTGCCACTTACTATTACATGTAGTATCGTCACGGTAGCATATAAATAGTTATACCTGTAAAATTAAAAGTCCCGGTTTGACTTGAACTCCCCTGACATAATAGCTTCGGCAGAAAGACCATCTTAAGCTGATACACTCTACCATAGGGAGATCCATCCACTGTTAGTTCGTTGCTGTAGGTGGCATAAATTGTTTGTTATATATGAATGTAAGAGTAGCTGCACAACACCCCCACTTATCTAAAAGAGTGAACCACCTGGAGTTGGGAACTCAGATAAACGGACTGTTCCGTTACTGGATCCAGTGGAAAAAGACTGGGTTTGTCCCAGTTAACCCAGAAGCCAGAAAACAAGCCAAACTCAGCATTATCTTGAAGCAGGCAATGTAAGGATTTATTAGGGTAGCTAAAAAGATGAGCATATCATCAGCAGACAGGGAAATGCATTCTTTTATAGTGCCTATAGGAAGGCCTTGTATGGAAGGGGATGTCTGTATATGAATAGCCAGGGACTCTATGGCTATGGCAAATAACAGTGGGGACAATGGACAGCACTGGCGTGTCCTTCTGTAAATAGATACAGAAGTATTTACTCGAATTCTGGCAACCAGATCTATATATAACAGCCATATCCAAGTGATCATCTGAGGACCAAATCCATATAACTGTAAGACATGAAACAGGTAGGGCCACTCCACACTATCAAGGGCCTTACACGTGTCTAGAGAAACATTAGCAGTTTGAGAGTGGCCATGGGGATACTGTACATTTTGTGTATAAAACCCCCTTGATCACTCTGTATCAAACGCACTACAACCTTGTTCAGGCAGTTAGATAAAACTTTTGCAAGGATCTAAACATCAACATTAATTAATAATATGGGTCTATAAGAGTCACAGTTAAGTGGGTCCTGTTGTGGCTTCAAAATAAAGACAATTAATGCCTCACGCATAGAGGGGAAAGTACCCGTATCTAGAGCTGCAGTGAAGGTCTGTAACAGATAGGGGCTTAAGAGATGCTTAAATTTAGCCTATCACTCAGCTGGGAAAGCATCTAGCCCTGGCGTTTTATGAGAGGGTAATTGGGAGATAGCAAACTCAATCTCATCAGGAGTAATAGGCTCATCCAACTCTCAGCTACATCGGGGATTTAAGAATGGCAGAGAAACCAGACTAAATATTCAAATAGTGAACTATCAGAATACTGTACAGTAGAAGTATACAATATAGAGTAGAAGGACACGAAGGCATCCAGAACCTAATGGGGAGTGGCACCAAGACAGCTGTCTGGAGAACAGATACAGGGGATAGAGGCATGCTAAGGCCGAGCTAATCAGGTTAAAAGAAGGCCTGCCTTACTACCATGTTTAAAACAATTTTTGGGAGGTGTGCTTTTTCTTTTTAGTGAGGTCTGAGAAGCAAAGCTCATATGCCCTACGGTTATGTAGCCAAGCAGTATAGGTATCGGAGGTTGGGGTAACAGTGGAGTCAGCTTTGGCCTGTAACATGTCTGATTCAAGTTCCTCTGTGCAAAACTGAATGTTTTTGCATAGTACCCCAGTAATTGACATAAAGCTGCCACAGAGGGTAGCCTTAAAGGCCTCTCATTCTGCTACAGGAGTAGCAGTATTGATATTCCAAAACTCAGTAATGCTCTTAGAACACTCTCCTTGAACCACTTGATCCTCTAGCCAAGGTGAATATAGAGGCCGCAGCACAGAGCCAGTAGTGAAGAGGAGCTGCAGTTCTAATAAATGTGGTGCATGGTCCAAGATACCTCTCAGAAGAAAGGAAGCAATAGTAACATAAGGAGGGTTAAAAAGGTAGCAAAAACCAAGTCAATACATGACATGGTGTGGGAAAAGTCTGAGTGGCAAGAAAATTGACAAGTATCCAGGTGCCTCCATCTCCATATATCAGTAGGATTATAAACATGTATCCAGTGTGGACTGTGTGGATTTGTGGACCACACCCCCCTAAAAAGTCCATAACAGGGTTTTTTAAATTAAAGGTCCCAGAGGAAGTTCTAAAGTTAAAAGAGAAATTCTAGATAAAAGATCTGAAGAAAAGGGGGAAGGGGCATACAGTGCCAATTTGCAAGGTAAGGATGACATAGCGACCATAGGAGTCAGTTTTAACTTGCAGGACCTCAAAGGGAA